CCACGCGGGCGGTATCCGCCCGCGGCGCACTGAGATGTGGCCTCGGGCTCGGCCACAGCGTCTCCACCTGACGTGCTCGGAGCTCCTTATGGCATGGAGATTCGAAAACCTCCGAGCCGCCCTACCCCTCATCTCCGACCACCTCGCTCTTCCTCAACTCGAGTCCTCACCACTTGTGATTGTTTACTTCACGATAAGAGATCACTGCATTGTTGCCCGACATGTCGACCGAAGCCACCGCCCGCGCCTTCTTCTCGTCAAAGTTCTTCGCCGTGGTGGGCGCCAGCTCGAACCCCGCCAAGTTCGGCCACAAGAGTGCGTTCCGGCCCCCGAGTCATCCACCCCGTCATTCTTCAATCCTCCTCCCGCTCACTCATGGAGCTAATAAGACGGAGCGCTGCCACTTCACTCAATTGACACTCACACATCACTGGCTTGCTCTCACAACCTAGCCTGACCCCTCACAAGACACCCAACAGCACCACTAACATAAAACCTCCAGTCTTCGCCTGGTACCTCCACCACAACATCCCCGCGACGCCCATCAACCCGACCTCCAACACCGTCAACGCCGCCGGCAAGGACCACCCCGCGGTCCCCAACCTCGCCGCCCTGCCCAACCCCAAGGAGACCTCCGTCTCCATCATCACCCCGCCCGCCGCCACCCTCAAGGTCCTCCACGAGGCGAAGGAGCTCGGCATCCCGGCCGTCTGGCTGCAGCCCGGCACCTTTGACGACGCCGTGCTCGAGTACGCGCGCGGCGAGGGCGGCTTCGAGGCCGTCGTCGCGGGCTTCGGCGGCGGCACCGTCGGAGGCGAGGGCTGGTGCGTCCTCGTTGATGGGGAGAGGGCGATGAAGTCTGCGGGGAAGCTCTAAGCGTAGCGTACCTAGCCCAGGCCACGATGGAGGAGCAGCAGTAGCGGCAGCGCTGTGCCAAGAACGACGGGACGACCACGTTGACATGTTTGTTACGAAATGAATTACGAGAATTTACCCTTTAGTTTGGGAATGCGTGACCCCCTCCCCAGGCACCGGGCCTCCAAAACACACACGCCTGGATCATCCATCGTGAAGAAACGCCGCGTTGGCGAGGGCTCACCGAGATAGCTCCGTTCCACGGTGCCTTTAAAGTTGTGACGACGTTCAGGTCACACCACCACCACCCCTCTCCCCCTCTGTTGCATGCAGGATCACTCCAGCAGATCGAGGGTCTTGGGATCTTGTCATTGATTCCCCCGGTGTGATCGAGTCAAGTTGCCAAGTCTGGGGTAAGGAACCTAGCGCGTCGTCCGTCGGCTGCCGGACCGGATTTTGAGCCTCAAGTGATCCCATCACGAAATCGCTCCAGCTCACTACCCCAAGGAGCAGAGAACTCGCCCTCCCATGAATCCAATCTTCTGCCCAAATTCAATTCTTCACCTTTTCAGAGAAACTCGTCTCACCCCATCTCCCGACATCTCATCTCCAATCCCAACCCCTGTTCATCCTCAGTCCAACAACAAACGGCCGACGCACACGCCTCATCCGCTACCCCGACTTTTGCTCCCTTGATCCGTCCCAAAGCTTTCCCCGCAATTTGCACATCCAGTCGCTGGGTCCCCACACAAGCTGAAGCTTCATCCCCAAACCTAAACCAACCCAACGCGTATTAGTCTAGCTCCCCCTCTCCTAGACCAGCGCACCCAACCTGCGTGTGCTGAGAACTTGGAGCTAAGAGCCTTCTTATTACTATGGTATGTCGAGGCGCTCACGGGTAACGATACTCGCGTGGGCCGCATGCGCTACTGCAAGCCCGGGCTCCGCGTCTCTCCCGTCCGCCGTGTTATTCCCTTCGCTTTGCCGTCTAAATCCGGCCGGCACAGACATCATTGGACCATTCTTCATGTTCTCTGTCAGTTCTCTGTCAGAAATTCCCGTTGGCCGCTGCCTCGTCACATCTGCGCCCTCCCTCGCCTCCACGCGAGATGAGCGAATCAGCCTCACCTGGAGCCCCAATCGACTCGTCACAACGGTCTTTTCTCCTCCCCTCGTAATCAGAACCGGCCGTACGGTGGACGGCTCCAACTGAGACGTTGACAGAAAACTTCCCCAGATTCGCACGTCTGCGCCCCTCACTGTCACATCCCAACCCCGTCTAGTTGGGGGACATGGGAGGGGGGCCCATAAACGTCCAGACCTCCTCGAGCCCCAAACGTGACCTCCACACAAGAAACTTCCGCCTTGGGCGAATCATCCTCTGTAGATCCTGCATCATGCCACTCCCGGTCCGGCATCCGGGGGGTTTGCAGTCACCACCCATCATCCCTTGTGCCGAACCCTCCACGCTCTCTGCCGGTCGCCCTAGCGAAATGCCCTCCTCGTCCAATGCCTCTCCCCAATGATGGCAAGGCAAGAACCCCGTCTCGTCCATGATGGAGGCCCTGCTGCCAACTCTCCGACTGGACCGGTCGTGCCAGCAGGTCCTTGCCAAGATGGCCGGTCCTCATACCCATGTCGAGGGCTTTCAGTCCTCCTCCTCTGGGCGTAAGGCAATATGCAGATGGGGGGAAGGACTAGACTCGTTGTGGTGTCCTGGGGAGCCTTCATAATGGAGGGCTCTGGCAAGTTCACCTCATCTTGCTCTTGCGTCCCTGACATCTCTTGTTGTTTGTTCCTCATTGTTCATCCAAACCTTTTCCTGTATCATTAGCTACTCCGTCATCAACATCATTGTACCAAAAGACATACATCTTTATTTAATTTGGCAACCATGGACCACAAAGAGTTCCAAGAAGTCCGCTCACATTCGCACCACAACGGCCACCATCGGCCGCCCCGTGGCCCGCCGACGCCGCACGCCAACGGCTACGAGTACGCCGACGAGTACATCCACCCCGAGATGAGCCGCGACGACGCCCTGAAGAGGATGAAGACGGCCGGGTCTATCTCCATCTCGCCCGAGCTGTTTGAGAAGCTGTACCTGTCGCCGCAGAATCAGGTCAAGGGCGAGTTGCGCAAGACGTTTGGTAACCCGACGCCAATGTTAGTTCCCCAAGACAGCATGTATGTCTGAGGATATGTTTACTAACCTGTGACAGTGCCATCGTGGGCTTCCTTATCTCCCTGACTCCCCTCTGCTGCGATCTGATGGGATGGCGTGGTGCTGGTGGTAGTGGTGCCGCAGGCATGTAAGTCAGACCGTTCCTTCATCCTCCCCCTGACTCTCGACTGATGTTCCATCATACAGTCCCACATACTTCTTCTTCGGCGGTCTTCTCATGTTTGTTGGCGGCCTGCTTGAATGGGTCCTCGGCAATACCTTCCCAGCGACGGTCTTCACCACTTTCGGGGCCTTTTGGGCCTCCTTCGGCGGAACCCTCAACCCCTCCTTCGCGGCCTTCTCGTCGTATGCCCCGGCGGGTGAAGCTGGGGCCGCAGGACTGGCGACCAAAGGCTTCAATGCCAGCTTCGGTAAGTCGTCCATCTCTCGATGGTAACTTCGTCATTGATGCTGATCGGTCTGCCAGGCTTCATCACCCTTGCCATGGGAATGATCTGCCTTGTCTTCCTCGTTTGCTCTCTCCGAACCAACATCGTCTTCTTCGTCATTTTCCTGACTCTCGTCCCTGTCTTCGGCCTCATCACTGCCGCTTATTGGTTCCTGGCCATGGACTTTACTGGCAACTCTGCGTTTGCGGCTAAGCTCCTGGAGGTGAGTCATTATGTCTCTGGAATTAACATTGAAAGATATGAAAGCTGATTTATGGTACTTTTCAGGCTGCTGGGGCGTGTGCGTTTGTGGCATGTATGGCCGGCTGGTGGCTCATCTTCGCCATCTTGCTTCCGTCGGTCGACTTCCCTCTGGAGATTCCCGTTGGTGACTTGAGTCGGGTCATTCGAGGAAGGAGCGAGAGGAGTCAAGTCTGAAAGACAATTAACTAGAAGGGGGGTACTGGGTAGGGCCCTTGGTGTAAGATGCATCAGAAAATGACAGCTTGTTCCCGCCAAAAAAACACACACATGCATTTGGAACAATAAAAGACACTCGTCAAACTATTTCTTCACGTTTGTGTCGGAGAGCCTCTTGACTGGTGACTTTTCCTAGCAGGCCAGGGTGAAGTTTGTAGAAACTGCGACTGTTCCCAAGGACGGAGGGGTTTTGCTGGCCGCAACGGTAGTTCATACGAAACCTAGAAAGTCGGCGTAGGAACAGCCCGTTTGCGAATAAATACCTGATACAAGGCTTCCAACGGAAGCAAATCGATGCAAGTTTGGCTTTCCCCTTCTTTCATGTTTTCTTGCTTCGGGGTCGTTCCCCTCCTCGTTGGATGGTGGATGGTAGGTAGACCTGAACAGGAAAGACCTCTGCAGCGGCCAGGCTCCTCCTCTCAAAGGGAAGGCTCGACCGGTTTCGCTGTCGGCCTTCAGTATCCTTCCTGCTTCGTTCTTTCCTAACTTTGTGTTGCTTTTTCGATCCTTCCAATTCTCCACCATCATTCTTGCCATCCTCCATACCTACTCAACGTCATCCCCTCGGACCCCTCCACTCCTCTCTCCAACACGATCTGCAACCCGAATCCACTTGCCGTCCTAGCCGCGTCGGCTGAAATTCTTTGCAACCATGTCTCTCAAGCGCAAGAGAACCATGGAAGAGTAAGTCTGCAAGTTCTTTCGTTCTTCTCTACTTTGCTGACGCGCCCGACGACAGTATCTTCCAATCCAGACATATCACTTTCGTGATTGGCAAGGAGCAGAAAGAATACACCGTTCACGAGTCGTCCTTCAGCCGCCTGTCCCGGCCTCTCGAAGCACTACTGACAGGAGGTATGCAAGAGTCTCAGCATGCCAAGGTCATCTAGGAGGATGTTGACAGTGCTGCTTTTCTTGCTCTCGTCGACTTTGCGTATAACGACTCGTACGTCGCCCCATCGCTTCGCAAAGCCACTCAACTTACGCCTTCCTCTGGGGAGAGCCGGGACGAGAAACCAGACAACGAAAATTTCGCATCAATCGTCTCCTGGATGTCAAAGTCCGCTCACCAGGGTCTCGCGAAGTACAAATTCTGCAAAGAGAAGTTCAACCAAGGCAAGCAACCAGATACCAAAAAAGGGTCGCCGGGAACTTGGGCAACAGATATGACAAAGACCGACCGCACTGGCTACGCCGATGTCTTCATGCTTCATGCCAGAGTCTATGTCCTCGCCGACACCTACGCGATACAGGAACTCCAAGAATTCTGTCTCCGACGGATCCGCATCAGCTTGCTCTACGTCACCCCAAACCCAGAACTGCTCGAAGCCTTTCATGACTTGATTATCTACGTGCTCGAGAATACCAAGGCTTCAGATGACTTCCGCAAGCTGTTATTCCATTTTTGCATCGCCCACATAGATTGGATCAAGAGCAGTGGCTTTCTTCAGCGGCTGAGAGAAGAGCTTCCTGACTTTCTGGCCGACTTGGCTGTTGAAATTCCGCTAAATCTCTGGGCTTGTATGGGTAGAATCAAATAGAGAAAGTGGGTGATGGATAAGAAATTTTGAGGCAGAAGGGAGCTTGAGCCTCAGACCAGGCCACGGCATAGAACGGGCGGGTATCATGGGTGTACGGTACATAGCGCCCCAGAAGGCGTAGAGAAGCTTCTCTGATGGCATTATTATCCCATGATTTTCGCATTGCATCACAATAGTTTTGTTCGGTTTTTCCAAGTGCATCGCTGCTCAAGCCTGGGCAGCTACTGCCTTGAGGTACGGCGTTGGCTTGCGGAAGGCCCTACCTGCACGGATAGATTGATTCAGCCCAGTGATGCGGGCTGGAAGTCCAGCTCACCTTTCGGAAAATGGATAAAAAAACGTGGCGATATCCATATAGTGATTGCTGCTCTGCTGTTGAATGTAGTTAGCGTCAATGTCATGTCACTGACATTCGCCCTCTTCGACAGATTGATCAATTCCACCCTACTTAATCTAAGGTAGGTCGCCTTACTCAGCGGCCATGCCTGGACAATGAGATGTTGCGAGCTCCTTCTGCCCATGATGTGCCGCAGGTGCCGTTCTGGAGCCCCACACTTCTTCACTGCAAGTCATTGACGTGCGTACTCAAATTGCACACTACCGACTTTATCAACAAGATCCCTCGTACAGCAAGGGGACCCCCGACCTTCATTGCCATTTACAGCTGTGGCTAGGCCCTCCATGGGATCCGTTCCAGCCGCTGTCAATGATTAAAGCCACATCCCAGGGGGCGCGAATTGCTCGCACTCATCTTACCGCCCTACGGCCCAATCTTAGTTCAAACTCTAAATAAATAGCATATTCGGGAGCTGTATCCGTGTTCTGGCAGGTCGATCATCACGTTTTGATAAATATAAATGAATCAATGTCCCGCAAGCCACAACGATGCAGGAACTACACTACAATCTTTCTTTGTCAAAAAACAAATCATGAAGTTGCTTACTCTTTTCTCCTGTGTCGCCGCCGCGACGGCGGCCGTTACACCCCGCCATGACGCCGAACCGGCTGAGAGCAACCTCCAGAGCAGGGGAGCGTCCTGCAATGTTTGCGTGTAAGTCTACCCAGATGTTCTTGCGGAGAAACCGAGGCCTCAACTTTAACACTTTCGGTAGAACCACTGTCAAGGGCTCATCTACGACAATCTGGGGTCCTTTCCCTTTTCCTTACGACCACGGAGGCCAGACGTCGCGAGGGATTTACGTCGGCTGCGACGTCCATATCGATCGCAAGCGCACGACGGATTGCAGTCAGTGGAGTGTGTGGACGAAGGGCACCTGTGGACAGGTTACCAAGCAGCAGACGTGTTGATAGCAAATTTGACATCCGCTCGGGCTGCGTGGGCTGAGACATGGCATTGATCAAGAGCGAGCGGTTTTGCTTAATATGAATAAGAGAGTTTCACAAGAACGAAATATAACTGCTATGAAACAATACGTACTATGAATTTGCCAGTATTTCTTTGCGCATCATGCGATTCAGACCAAGAAGCAAATCATTAAATAGCCAAATTCAAGGTTGCAGAAGGGGCGAAGAGCTAGGCGAAATTGAGGGCCATCTCTAACCTAAGTTTGAGGCACCCTAAGCAACACCGTCAATGTCACATCTCTCACAATACTGTTGACTGCTACATCGTGATCTTCAATACTAGATGCAGTCAATCATAGTAAGAAATAACAAAACTCATGCCTAGTAAGCAGCATGATGCTATGTGAAGACAAATCGTTACGTCTGCAGTTTTTCATGCTGCATCTAATAAATCCAAGGCATCGGAGAAAGATTTTTCTCTCTGATCTGCGAAGTCATATGAGTGAAAATCCGTCATTACGGGCTCTCGCTGACCTTGATTGCCTGCCTTGATCGCCTACCTCAATCGCTCCTGCCTACTTTGATGACTCCTGCTTTGGCCGTTTATGTCTTGAAGTTTAAATAGTTCACCCTAAAGGCTACCGAAATATTCAAACATGTTTCTAGTATAAACGAGTGTTTTTCACCCCCTCCATTACCTGCCGACTGCACCTTCATTTTCCCTTATCGTTGCCAGCGCCAGTACATGATCGAGCGCCTCCATCTTCATCTGGAACTGCTAACGATGTCCCCCAAGCGCAAAGAATTCATGGATGAGTAGTTCTCACTGTCAGAGCTTTCTATCTTCGCCCCCCGCTGACAGTGTGCAGGGCAGCATCTTCAAACAGGGCGCCCCCAAAACCCCAAATAGACATGAAAGAGTATTTGCCTAGGCCCCTACATTGATAACTGATGCTAATCACGTCACACAGGATTTTCAAGTCTCGCATCATCAGGTTCATCGTTGGCCCTGAAAGGGAGCAGTTCACCGCCCACGAGTCCTCCATCGCTGGTCTTTCCGCGCCGCTCCGTGTCCTAGTCACTGGAAACATGAAAGAATCCATCGAGGCTACAGTCATCTGGGACGACATTGACCCGGCTCTGTTTGTAAGTTTGATGGAGTTTGCATACACTGGCAGCTTTTCGGTTGCAAAGTCCGAACAGCAGGAAAACTGCGACGGGCTGAAAGCTCCTGACTTGGCTGAAGAATCATGTGCCAATAAGAGAGACGACGAGAGAGATGAAAAGAGAGATGAAAAGAGAGATGACGAAAGAGACGACGAGAGAGACGAGGATGAACGGCACATTGATGACGGAGATCCGGGCAAACTCGTCAACGGCCTGCCCATTGGTTGGAACATAACCCTGATGACCCAGATGGAAGAACATTCTGCAAGCGGCAAGTTCTCACAGAAGCACTTTCGACTCAAGCAATTCCACCAGTTGAAAGATGATCCATCTAGCTTGAATGTTGACATGATTCCTTATAATGTCAAAGCCTACATGATGACCGCAAAGCTTTACGTCCTGGCTGACAAGTACGACATTGCGGCACTCAAAAGCCTTTGCCTTTTCAGATTTATCTACAGTTTGGCTTACATTAGCGGCAACGACATGACTATGGACATCTTGGTTGCTACCATGCGGTATGTCTACGAAAACACCATACGGAAAGATCAGCTTCGAAAGTTACTGTTACGATTCCTTATCACGGATATGCAGTGGGTACTTTCAAACAAGGGAATGAGGAAGATGCTCAGCGATATTCCCGAGCTCGCTTCTCAGATGATACTCCTGGTGCCTTCTTACTACTGGGACGAGCTGCATTGGGGAAGGCCATCTACGAGCACGCAAGCGACCATGACGTCCTAAACAGACAATACAAACTATAGAAGAACAGATATCTTGTGTCATCTCCTACTTTTGAGACAAAATGAGACTATCCTAGGAATCAGTGTTATTTGCTTGCTGCTTAACTCCACTCGCTGCTGCTCCGGGTCCCATGCCAAGGAAGATGACTTTAGTCTGCTCCTCCATTACTTTCATGGCTACAAAGGGTTAGCTCTTGGAGGAGAATAATCGATAATCATGATTGTCAATGTTTCTGTGGGAATTGCCAACCACCGGCACGACGACACCTGGGTAATCCGGACACAGAACGGACGTAATCGACACGTGGTCATTAAACTCCACATATTTTGGAGGGTATTAAAGTGACCTGTCAGATTGAGATGGAGATGTAACGTTGGATATCGAATATGATACGACGATGCAGAAAGATAGTGGGTGAGCAACAGGCCAAATAAGGAAAATTGCCCGCCCCCAAAAGCGTACCGGCTCCGGGTGGGATGAGCCACCCACGCTAGTGTTGGTTCTCCCTCACTTTCCTATTTTCCCTCCAACCCCTCCTTTGGAATGACATTTTGTTCTGAAACAAACCCGATTCCGTAACATCGTCTCTCAGATTCATACTTCTGTGAGACAGAATTCTTCAGCTCTGGATCCAAAGGTAGTATGGCGGAACTTGGAAATGCTGGCGGACCTGCGCCAACTTCTCCACCTCGATCGCCAGAGGTCCCTGAGGTCCCTGAGGTCCCAGAGGTCCCTGAGGTCCCAGAGGTCCCAGAGGTCCCAGAGGTCCCAGAGGTCCCTGAGGTCCCAGAGGTCCCAGAGGTCCCAGAGGTCCCAGAGGTCCCTGAGGTCCCAGAGCAACCAGTGAATGTTCCTGCGAACCTTCCTGAAGGTGCCATTGAGCCTCAAGGAAATCTTAATGACGAGGCAGAAGGCTATGAGTCGGCTTCCGATACAGTTACCAATGCTTCCACCTCGCTATCATCGTCCGTTCGAGACTTCAACTTCGAGAACAACCGACGGTATCACAAATACAAAGAGGGACGGTACACATTTCCCAACGACGATGCTGAACAAGAAAGAGAAGATATGAAACACGCAATGGTAGTGAGCATATGCGGCGGCAAGCTGCATACCGCGCCGCTTGAAAACCCTCAAAAGATTCTGGACATAGGTACCGGCACCGGTATCTGGGCCATTGACAGTAGGTTTCCCGCTCCGAATTTTCTGCGACACCAAAAAAGTTCAGAATGACTTACGAGAGGGTCTGCTTTTCCCAAACCGCAGTGGGCGATGAATACCCGGAAGCTGAGATCACTGGTATCGATCTGAGCCCAATCCAACCCTCATATGTGCCGCCGAATGTGCACTTCATCGTTGATGATGTGGAGGCTGAATGGCTGTATCCGGATAATTCTATCGACTACATTCACCTGAGACACATGAGCCCGGCCATCAGAGACTGGACGAAGGTGCTTAATCAAGCATACAGGTTTGTCTTCCATTCCCTCATAGCAAGGGATCTTCAACATGCCTAATTCTGTATCAGGGTTCTGAAGCCGGGTGGCTGGATCGAACTCCAAGAGATGTGGTGGTTTTACCACTGCGACGACGGGACTATGCCTGAGGATTACGCCTTGACAAAGATGATCAAGCTCATCTGGGACGGCCTCGAAAAGTTCGGCATTGATCGCAATTTACCTTACTCCTACTCAGGACGACTTGAAGAAGCGGGATTTGTGAATCAAGTGCGCGACAAAGTGAAAGTCCCATTCGGGGGGTGGCCAAAACGACCTGACCTAAGAATGATCGGATCGTATTGCGCGGCAGTCGTTTATGATGGGCTATACACTATCAACCACGGGCCCTTGACGAAAGGCCTGGGATGGACTACGGAGGAAGTTGAGGTCTTCCTGGTGGAGATCCGAAAGGACCTGTTGAATAAGTCGATCCACTCCTACGTCCACTATGAGACCGTTGCGGGCCAGAAGCCAAAGGGGGAGAACGTATGAAGCAAGATACGGTTGACTTCTCCACGTCTAGAACTCGTGATCAAACAATCACCTTTTTCCTTCATAGTTATCAAGACCGGAACTCAATAACCGTGTATATCGAAGGCTGGGTCATTGCACGTGCCGGTGATTCATTCTGGAAAAGCGTTTTCTTAAAATCCGTCACAACCACCTGCAAGGTTTTCCATAATGACAAGCGATAAATACCGGCTGTGTTTGAATTGTACTCGTTCAATGAAAAGTTCACTATTTCAACGTTTCTTTTCCGCAGGGTCTGTCTCGGTCGGGTTTGTCGTTTTCGGATCTGTTGGTGTCGTCTCGTCCGGGTCCTGTGTCGCCGGTGTCGGCGATCCCCCACGACCAGTGTCACAGCCCTGCTGGTCCTTCAGAGCGCCATAGAAGCTCTCCCTATACGCTGCGTCCATCTGTGCCTGAAAGTTTGCGTCGGTGAAGGGAACCTGCGTCTTCTCGTACTTGACATCCTGTAGTGCCTTTGCCGCCGCGTCCGGGAGCGAGTCCCACCCGACGAGCGTACGCTCGAAGACCTTGTCGCCGTCGGCGCCTGTAAAAGGCGCTATCGCGGTGTCGTGGATCTGAATTTTAGGGTGTGTTGGCATGTCTACGCCTACAGTCGTCGACTTGAAGGAGAAGTCGCCCGCATTCGCCGTGCCCCAGGTGAGATGGTCGGTTGTGAAGGAAATACCCACAGGCCAGACGGCGGTGACATCGTCGTCAACGCAGCCCCAGCGGTTAATCCAGACGACAGCGCTAGCCCAGTAGTGCCGATGGCCGTTATCATTACCCTTGGCCCAGCGGACCTTAGGCATGTAGTAGCTGTACATAATACCAGTGCGACCCTGGCTCGAGCCGCGGCGGGCGTAAACTTGAGCATTTCCCCCTTTATCACAGCCACTTCGGCCGCCATTCGTGGGTTTCAAACCGCCTCTAGAGTGATGATGTGAGTATATTTGGGGTATGTAATGGGTAGGGAAGGGTTTCATTGCTTACCCGAGGTTTCCGCTGGCATCTGTGGCCGGGTATGGATCGCAACCTCCCGCCACGTACAGGAAGGGGCTAAACCGGAGTTCAAGCTGACCATCTACACCTGGCGAAGCATTCTGGGTAAGCGCAACGACTTTGTCATGGTCGATCCAATTGTGTCCACCCGAATCGTCTTGGCCGCGTGGGAGTACCGATGACGCTACGGTGTTAAAGAGAAGACAGCCCAGTAAGGGCCAAACGGTGACAACTACCATCTTTCCTTCTGAGTGGGTGTATGTAACGAGAGTAAATGAGTGGCTAGGCTGTTGCGCAAATGCAAACAAACCCCAGGAAAACGAATGTAAAAGGTGACCCTCACGATGTATGTGGCATAAGCAGACTTTCACTTCGACATACTTATGTTCCTCGTCCCGGGAAGATTCTCAGTAGTGGTTTTAAAGCGACTGGAAGTATGCTGGCTATTGCACACAGTCTCTTCGCTCACTGCATACGTTACATTAAAGAGAGTTTCCCCCCGTGGCTTCATTTAGCATCCCCCTTCATTACCTCAGGCCAAAAGGGCGTTGAGTATACGAACGGTATGGCCGGACACAGAGTTATTTCCACACCTCGCTCCTTGTTATTTTCTTTGCGGTCTTAATGATATTGATCTGACTTGCCGGTAGGGCTGGCCTCTACGCTTCGTGTAAACTTTTACCTTCATATTACTGTGGGTAATAGCACGGAACCCAGTGCCGAACTCTACCTCATGTAGCCGACGGGATGTCATACCGACGCATTAGCGTTTGCCTTCCCGGAACCCCTTATTGCTACGCCAGTCCACGCCCCTTAAACTAACTGCGTGTTCTCACAATTACGTTAACGTAACTACCATGGTTGTTGGGCGAGTTGAAGAAAAGCCGAGTTAACGCAATTAACGGCGGGAGCTGCCCTACCAGTCTGTACATATGTATTCGACCAGTCACAACTTCAGACGGACCTTGGGCGGTCCAATCAAGAATTTGCAGGCTAGATGATGTTCGCCCCGAGCTTACGGCTCAGTAAAGAGCATTCGAATATGAGTCAAAAGTCACTGTATTCGTCGTGTCCATCCCATTCGACCCGAACGCTTCGCACAAATTCAAGTTGGAGCGACTCACCAAATGAATGGTGGTCCATTAGCAAAGAGTTCCAGTAGAGTTTGCGGCCCGAAATAGCAACTCTCGCCGAGCCCCAGAGAACGACGCACAGCCCAGCTACCAATGGAGTTGCCGAAAGCTTATTAGCCAGGGGTCTTCCGCATCTAAATCAACAATGAGCAAATTACACTCATGCTCTTTATTGTCCTCGTACGGACGGACACTTTTGCAAGATCCGGTAGGGCTCTCATTACCGGTCAACATGTGCACTAGATTCCGATCGAAACTTTAAGTTGGATCGCAAGATGCCGAACACATGGCTTCATAGTCGGCGTCACCGTTTTGACCTCCTGAACTCGGCCTCAATTGAAATTACAATATGGAAAGATGCACGTCGCTTAATCACTTTGAAGAAAGTCTTTCTCACTGCGTTATATAGATGGGTAGATATTTCCTTGGTTCCCGCCTACTAGTTGCGCTAGGTGCTACGTCCTCTGCCACAAATGCAATACTCGGCGAGAATTTTGTGCAAGACAGCCCTTTGGGGCGCCTACAGTCTCATAGCCGTCAAGGCACAAGGGACAAACGGACTTCTTGCCGGCGATGAGAACGACTGGTTGGCATTAGACAACGTCGACCCTTGGTATCTGCCCCCGGACATTGTTGACGGCGGTGACAAAGATGGCTCTGGTGCGTTCCCAACACCCGCGCAGATTCTCTTCAAATTTACAAGCTGACCATGAAAATCTGCAGTCTTAATAATGAACGGCCGAGTGCGCTGCGGCGTCGTCCCTCTCGACAAGAGCGGCAACGTGTGGACGATCCCCGCCAACGGCGATTTCGACGCTGTCGGTTACATCCTGCCCCGAGGCGGCTACGACTCACGATCCGACAAGAGCCTAGCAGACTGCGTGCTTCGCGAGTCCAAGGAAGAGGGCGGCTTTATCATCGACGTCAACTCGCTTATTCCCCTCGGGCTGAGCAAGGGGGAGACAGTGTACTGGTACAAAGGCACCGTCACCGAGAACGTCGACCCGACCGAACCGCGCGACCGCCCGCCAAAGTCCTTCGCTGCCGCGGAAGCACGAACAGAACTGCAAAAGCCGGCCAAGAAGCCAACGAAGAAGTCTGACATGCGAATGGCGTTCAATAAGGCGGAGTCAGCATCCGAGTCCAACAGTTACCGCTCCACGTTCAAGGCGGGTGGCGGTGCCTCGGCCTACTCATTCAAAGATGCCGGGGCGGCTATGGAGGTGTACAGCACCGAGTTCCAGAGTGGCAGCGCGCCGATCGTCAAAGTGGAGGTTGACTCGTTCTTGAACAAGCTTGTGGCAGAGAAGGCGGTGAATAGTCAGGACCAGACCAAAAACCGGCTGAGTCTCGCGCGTATGATGGGCTCGGTGTGGCTCAGGAAGGGCCTCGCGATCAAGCAGCTCAGTGCGGTAGAATTCATTGACGTAGTCGATGATAAAACCAAGGCTGCAATCACGGAAGTACAAGGTGAACTGGAAGCCGTAGCCGAAGACTTTGAGGTTCAGTCGACGGATTCGGTGCACTGGGGACGTCTGGTGAGCACACCTCTCGGCGAAGCTGCGCAGAGCTTGGCTGCCGCGGCGGAAAAGTCCGTGTCGAAGATTTCTGTTACTAGTAGTCCCATTGGTATCGTCTTCGACTTAGTGTGAGTGGTTGTAGAGTAACAAATGGCTGCATGGTTGGCGGGTTAAAAGGAAACAAATAAAAATGCCCCATTTCTCCGTTTTCCTGCACCGTTCGTCCTGAAATCTTGAAACATCATCATGGATCGTCATATCAGGGGTTCACGGTACCAATATCGTAGATTCTCAATAATGCGCAATTGGTAGCCCGCGCTGAATCCACGAGTTTTACTGACAGGAACTGCAGGCATGAGTTTAGATAGTATCTGTTCCCGGAGCCCCGTTAATTAGGATTTTACGGTTGCTTCCAGGCCTCATTTGCTACTTACCAGCGTTCATTATCAACGGGCAAGGAAGCAGAAACTAAGGACGTTGATTCCCACTTCGTCTTGGGATAACTGCTCATTATGAGTGGTTCGGAAGGATTAAAGCGGGGGTACATTTCGTCTCTCCGATCGATGCTCATTATAGAGCCAGGGATCAAGTTTATCAACACTTTCGTCGTATACCTCAATGACGGTAAGAGTATGACATCTTCTTAGGCGAGCTGATTTCTGTCAGTTTAACTGACTGCCACACAGGTATTCTTGATGGTGACTGAGGGTCATGGGTCATCAATGAAATCACCCTGGATGTGTATGGTTACATCGTCACCGCAGACGCTTTTGGAAGGGGCTACGTCATCCCAATGATTGATGCATTCGGAGATATGCAAAGAACGTGTGGCTTTCACTCTGTTGAAGTATCTACTGCAACGGAAGTCTCTCTTCCTTCGTCGGGCTTAAGAGGTGTGCTGCTAAAACCCACGAGTCGCCAAACAGCATTCCCAGTTAGAGCTGAATCGGGGGGATGGCTCAAAGTTGATGCGTGCAAAGTTGGTCTTGACTGTCTATCCTTTCAAACCCACTCGTCCCTTCAGAAAGTCGCACGGATTCTAATACATACACTTCAGACTTCACGAATTATTTGAAGACCCCCATTAGCGGTCTATACGAGGAGGGGGCTGCCGTGGATAAGCAAGGCCACGAGTTATCTGAATATTCCAGCGGTGATGATGCCAATGATGAAGGCTGTTCGTTGTCTGTTCGTTGTGGAATACCTTTTCAGAGATAGACTGAAAAGGTCACAAGAACAGTAACTAATACAAGATTGAAGCATGGATGTGTCTCGTAAGGGGAGCAAAGTACGGCCAGAAGAAGCCCCAGAGTGAAAGAGTAGGATAATC